TTTTCACCAGTAAAATGATTCTTTGGCTACAGTAAAGGACACTGGTCCCTCCTCTGTTCTTATGATCTCCCTAATGCTTGCTACAAAAGAGAGGCTTGGTGTGGGATAGGTTATATGAGTGGATATAGTTACATAGTCTGGCTGAAAAAAGACAAAAGTCCATTGAGTTCAACCATTAAAAAAAAAAAGTTATAATCCTACCCACAGTTGATTCAGAGGAAGGCAAAAAAAACCCAGCAAAGCATGATACAATTTGCTCCTGCAGGAAAAAAATTCCTTCCTGATCCCCCGAGAGGCAATCGGATATTCCCTGGATCAACTTTACCTATAAATGTTAGTATCCGGTTATATTCTGAGTATCTAAGAAAGAATCCAGACTTTTTTTTTTTTTTTTTTTAAAGCAATCCACTGAGCTGGCCAGAACCAACTGGGAGTCTATTCCACATTTTCACAGCTGTCACTGTGAAGAAACCTTTCCATGTTTGGAAATTAAATTTCTTTTCCTCCAAATGTAAAGAGTGCCCCCTTGTCCTCTGTGATGACCTCAGGGTGAATAGCTCTACATTGAGTTCACTATAGGAATCACTAATGTATTTATACCCGTTGATCATATCCCCCCTAATCTCCTTCTTATCAGTTTGGTTGCCCTTCTCTGTACTACTTTTTCTCCAGTTCCCCAATGTTCTTTTTGTGAATTGGTGCCCAAAACTGAACTGCATATTCCAGATGAGGTCTTACTAATGATTTGTACAGGGGTAAAATGGTATCTCTCTCTGGAGTCTATACCTCTTTTAATACAAGAGGATTTTTGCTCACTATAGAAACTGCAGCTTGGCATTGCATACCATTATTAAGCTTGTGATCTACTAGAACCCCTAGGTCCTTCTCCACCATTGATTCCCCCAGTTGTACTCCCCCTAGTATGTATGATGCATGCATATTCTTAGCCCCCAAGTGCATAACCTTAAATTTATCAACCTTAAACCTCATTTGCCACATAGTTGCCCATTTAAACAGTGCATTGAGGTCGGCTTGAAGACATCCTGTAAGGACGTTATTCCACTGCACAGCTTGGCGTCATCTTCAAAGACTGAAATAGTATTTATAATCCCAGACCCTATATCGTTTATAAATATATTCAAAAGTAAGGGTCCCAACACTGAACCCTGGGGTACACCACTGACAACAACCCTAGACCATTCAGAGTATGAATCATTAACCACTAATCTTTGAATACGATCTTTTAGCCAGTTTTCTAACCATTTACATACAGATTTTTCCAAGCCAGTAGACTTTACCTTACACATTAGCCATGTGTGGGGAACTGTGTCAAACGCTTTTGCAAAATCCAAGTAGACCACGTCCACCGCCCCTCTGTCCAAGGTTTTCCTCACCTCCTCATAAAAAAAAAAATCAGATTTGTTTGACAACTTCTGTCTTTCATGAATTCATGCTGTCTGTTGCTTAAAATATTTTTTTCCAGCAAGAACTCATCTATGTGGTCTTTTATTAAACTCTCCAGAATCTTCTCAACTATAGAAGTTAAACTAACAGGTCTATAATTACTTGGTAAAGATTTTGATCCCCTTTTAAAATATTGGCACAAACACTTGCCTTATGCCAATCCAGTGGTACTATGCCAGTCACTAAAGAGTCCCTAAAAATTAGAAACAATGGCTTTGAAATGACAGAGCTCAATTCTTTAAGGACCCCTGGGTGTATGCCATCCGGTTCAGGTGCTTTATTCAGCTTCTTTTTTTTTTTTTTTTTTAACCACTGTCCAATAACCTGAAATTAGCTGCATATAACCCAATTGTATTGATGTTAAGAAACCTCTGTCTTGTATGATGCTTCAGGAAACTGCTGGTAACTCAAAAATCCTATAGCCTAGTCGTACAGCACAGAATGTGTAGTCATAAACTTTGGGTTATTCTATTTTTTTTCACCCGGGTCAAGTGGCTTTCTTATACAGTTAGGTCCATATATATTTGGACACAGGTACAGTTTTTTTTTCAGGTATTTATCAAAACATATTCCATTTTATAGTTCTATAATGGATATAGGCTGAAAGTGCACACTCTCAGGTTTAATTTGAGGGTATGTACCTCCAAATTTTGATTTAGGGTTTAGGAATTACAGCTCTTAAAAATAGCCATCCCCCCTTTTTCAAGGGACTAAAAATAATTGGACAATTGAATCAAAAGCTGTTTCATGGCCAGGTGTGGGCTACTCCGTTATTTCTAAATCAATTAAGCAGGTAAAAGGTCTGGAGTTGATTCTAAGTGTGGTATTTGCATTTGGAATCTATTGCTGTGAACCGACATAATGCGTTCAAAAGGAGCTGCCCATGCAAGTGAAACAGGCCATTGTAAGGCTTCAAAAATGAAACAAATTCATCAGACAGATAGCAGCAACATTAGGAGTGGCCAGATCAACTGTTTGGTACATTCTGAGGAAAGAACAGCACACTGGTGAACTCAGCAACATAAAAAGGCATGGACATCCATGGAAGACAACATTCGTAGATGATCACAGGATGCTCTCTATGGCAAAGAAAAACCCAATCACAACATCCAGACAAGTGAAGGACACTCTCCAGGAGGTGGACGTATCATTGTCAAAGTCTGCAATCCAGAGAAGACTTCACAAGAGCAAATACAGAGGGTTCACCACAAGGTGCAAACCATTCATAAATCCGAAGAATTCCCCTCGACCTCCTTTTTAAGGTTGCCCTGATATTCTCCTCTTCCCTCTATGCAGATCGGAACGTGATACCTTCAAGTTCAATGCACTCGATTGTCTGACACATGATTTTACCCTTTTCGGGGGTGCTTTTAGTTATTGTACCCTTGGAGCTTTCACACCGGTAGTATGCCTGCCTATACTGCCCCCTCCCTAGTTCCCCCCCCTCCCCTTTTTTTCCCTTTCTCTTTTCTCCCCTTTTTTCGGCTCTCCATCACCCCTCCATCCCTACTCCTTCCCTTCTGATTCCTTTTTATCTTACCCTTTATCCTTCCTTTTTTTTCCTTTCTATTTTGCATGTCTTGCTCTATTAACCTTCTCTTGCCCTTTCACTTTTTTCCCTGCCCATGGGCGACACACACTCATACCCATATGTAAATTGCAATATACGTGCCTACAGATTCACAAAGACCTCCTCCCACACACAGGTAACCATTACTAGTAACCCCCCCTCGCAGCTCCCCTTTTACTTCAGGGATCGCTTAGTGCTCTCAGCACCTGTTCTCCTGTATGGGATGTATTTAGTCTTCACTCCCTCTGCCCCCGCACCCTGCCTTTATAAGATGTTAGACACACGGGGGAATGAATACCTGAACTTGCTCGTCTTGTGGCTCTCTGATGCCTTGTCATGGTTTTGGGTATTAAGTGCCTTCACCCTTGATGTGACCGTTTGTCGCCTCTTTGAATTGCCTATCACTAATATCATTGATAATATGTGTGACATGTGATCCTTGTATGACTGTATAACTGATCATCTCTCTATGTATGGCATTTATTTGTTTTACAATGAGTTTTTCTTTCTTTTTCACACTATATCTCTTTGTACCCATTGTATATTTTTTATGCTATGTACTTTCCTAATAAACGTTATGGAAAGATAAAATAAAATTGAAATCATAAACCTGAAGAATAGAAAATCCTGATTAGACTTTGCTAAAAAAACATCTAAAAAAGCCAGACCAGTTCTGGAAAAGCATTCTTTGGACAGAAGAAACTAAGATTAATCTGTACCAGAATGACGGGAAAAAAAAAGTGTGGAGAAGGCTTGGAACAGCTCATGATTCAAAGCACACAATGTCATCTGTAAAACATGGTGGAAGCAGTGTGATGGCATGGGCATGCCTGACTTCCAGTGGCACTGAGTCATTGGTGTTTATTGATGATGTGACAGAAGACAGAAGCAGCCAGATGAATTCTGCAATGTTTAGAGAGATACTGTCAGCCAAGATTCAGCCAAATGCAGCAAAGTTGATTGGATGGTGCTTCACAGTACAGATGGACAATGATCCAAGCAACCCAGGAGCTTTTGAAGGAAAAGAAGTGGAATGTTCTGCAACGGCCGATTCAATCACCTTATCTCAACCCAATTGAGCATGCATTTCACTTGCTGAAGGCAAAACTAAAGACAGACCCACAAAGAACAACTGAAGACAGCTACAGTTAGAGCCTGGCAAAGCATCAGAAAGGAGGAAACCCAGTCTTTGGTAATGTCCGTGGGTTCCAGACTTCAGGCAGTCATTGCCAATAAAGGATTCTCAACAAAATATTTAAAATGAATATTTTATTTATGATTATATTCATTTGTCTAATTACATTTGATCCCCTGAAAATGGAGGAATGGCGTATAAAAATGGTTGCAGTTCCTAAAATTTGGTCTTGGTATTTATGTTCAACCCCTTGAATTAAAGCTGGAAGTCTGCACTTCAAATTCATTTGGGTTGTTCTGTTTTAATTTTATTCGGGTGGAATACAGAGCCAAAAGTAGGAAAATTGTGCCTTTGTCCAAATATATATGGACCTGTACCTGAGCACCGCCCAAATTTTGTCCAAATATATATGGACCTGTAACTGTACCTGAGCACCGCCCCCCAAGTTTAGAGGGAGGAGCAATTTAGACTAGTTGGAAAACTGCCCAATCTATTTTTTTTTTGGGTGCTTGAGATATATGCAGGGTCTTTTCTCTCTTTCTTGGGTTAAACATGAGTAGTTTGCTAAGGCAACTATGTGTGTTTATGGATGTGCTGGCTGACAAATAATGAAAAGTGTTCAAAACTGGAAAATGTCTAAAATGATTTGTCCCCTAAAAAGGCTTACAAAGGAGCCTTTTGCTTAGTCTAAAACGTGATATACAATTATTTATATTTTTCTTATGTATTGAAGTGTTATACTGTTTGTCCATAGTGTACAAAATGTTATCCTGCTTGAAAAACTATAATACACACTTAATAAAATGTACACATGATTAATCTGCTTTACAGGCCAATTACACTCACTGTTGCCAAATGCTGGGATCCTTCTCCACGTGGCTGCTTTACTCTGCCCAGAAGTAAGTTTACAGATATAGCATGCTTGTGTCTTGGAAGTCTTGTATTTTTACATCATAATTCACTTTCCTTTTATAGATGTTAAAATCAGATTTAAGTGACACTAAGGGCTCGTTCACACCATGGTGCAGAGATGTCATTTTTTTCTGCACGTGTTCTGCAAAGGCACAACAAAATCCATTGTTTTGTGTGCCTTGTTCACACTACAACACTAGTATCACGTGCAGATTTTCTTTCTGCAAAGGAACATTGAAGCATGCATGAAAACTGATGTAAACTGATGTCTCTGTAAGTGAAATCTGCGTGTTGGTTGCCATCAGTTTTCATGCACATACAGTCAGGTCCATAAATATTGGGACATCAACACAATTCTAACATTTTTGGCTCTATACACCACCACAATGGATTTGAAATGAAACGAACAAGATGTGCTTTAACTGCAGACTGTCAGCTTTATTTTGAGGGTATTTACATCCAAACCGGGTGAACGGTGTAGGAATTACAGCAGTTTGCATATGTGCCTCCCACTTGTTTAGGGACCAAAAGTAATGGGACAAACCCATCAGAGAGAAGGCAAAAACATTAGGCATGGCCAAAACAACTGTATGGAACATTCTTAAAAAGAAGGAACGCACTGGTGAGCTCAGCAACACCAACAGACCCGGAAGACCACGGAAAACAACTGTGGTGGATGACCGAAGATTTCTTTCCCTGGTGAAGAAAACGCCCTTCACAACAGTTGGCCAGATCAAGAACACTCTCCAGGAGGTAGGTGTATGTGTGTCAAAGTCAACAATCAAGAGAAGACTTCAGAGTGAATACAGAGGGTTCACCACAAGATGTAAACCATTGGTGAGCCTCAAAAACAGGAAGGCCAGATTAGAGTTTGACAAACGACAAATTAAAGCTGACAGTCTGCAGTTAAAGCACATCTTGTTAGTTTCATTTCAAATCCATTGTGGTGGTGTATAGAGCCAAAAATGTTAGACTTGTGTCGATGTCCCAATATTTATGGACCTGACTGTATGGTGTTAACAAGCCCTTAGGGTTCAGATTTTGTGTGTTGTTTTTTTTTTAAATACAATTCCCTGCTGTGTGCACAGGTTTTAGAGGGAGGAGGAGGGTGTGGGTAGTAGGTTTTAACAGTACATTTATGCTTTTAAGCAGTTCTATCCTTCACTTCAAAGATAACACTTATTATTGCCATAAAAAGTGCTGTATTTCTTTTTTTTAATGCAGTTCTCCCCACCTCCTTTAAATTTTCTGTGTAGTTGTAATGAGTGCTATTCCTCAAAAATCAAAACATGGCTATAATTTTGGGTAGTTTTGTGGAATTCTTCAAATAGTATGTAGTCATTTTCTATATGGACTCTCTATATATCTATGTAGAGAGAGTATTTCTGTGTGCAATAATGCTGAACATGGGCAAATGGTGATGTCACATTGTAACACATTTAATTGCATTCTACAGTCCCTTCAGAAGAGCATATGTTCATTCAATTTTCTTTTATTAATTTTCACTTGCATACATACATTTTTTACACACTTACTTGCAGACTAAGCTACGTCAGGGTCAGACAATAATGGGGTCAGAGAATAACAGGGTTGGTGTTACAATTCGTAGTGATCAGCCTTTGACATATGTTCCAAACACTGGAAAAGGCTCCTGTCTACATGCATGTTTAATTGATTATATTAAATGGTAATTGGTATAGTACAGTGTTTCTCTAATCTGTCTCAGCAAAACTGCAGGGGTGAGACACAAATGACTGCATCTGCACACGTGGGAGGTTACTGGCAAAACCTGCACTGTATATGAGACTTGAACAGTTTTGAGAAATACTTGTGTTGCATGTGTTGCCTGAAATGAGTGCTGTCATCTTTCCTTTCCTGGGGCTGGCATTTGATCTGGAGCAGGATAATTACTACGTGTGATGATACAGACTGCCCTAGAGCAATTATCAAATGCAGCAAGGGCTGCCTCCAGCACTGCAGAGACCCTGTCTCTAAATGTTCGTTTTGCTAGTAAAGCTGTTCAAGGTAAAACACCAGGAGTTCACCTTACTGGGCATTGTGAAATTCTCGCCACTGTCGGTTTTACCACAGTAAGGGTTAAGGCTGAGGGACTGAGTACTGATGTCATCTACTTGATGAAGCAAAGCGAGCACGATTCACATTTATCCCACAGTTCAGCTTGGACAAAGCACCATCCTGCTGCTGTTTTATGTTCCTGAAGCACCTTATGGATCTCCAGGCTGTGCTCACTACCCACCTACACTGACCTGTTCACCTCTGGCCACCTGAAACCCTCATCAGCACCATTGGCCAGGGTCTGAGAGTACATGAGGCCTTGTGTCATGTGTGGGCCAGTTACATTACTGCTGCGCAACTTCAAAACGTCTTCCCTAAGGTACAGAAAGGACAGTCCTGTTCTGTGCTCTGGCACCATCCCCTGCAGAGTCTCTCTGATTTCTAGGGTTCAGGATGATCAAATTAGGTCTGTGCCTCTTGTATTGATCTTGTATACGGAGTCCTAACACTGTTTTTCTGTGGGGAAAATTAAAATAGGTAGATTTCCTCAGGAGGATTCAATCCACTGCCAGGGTGGGTACCAGTTTCACAGAGCTGCTGGAGCAGATGTCTGGATCTTTGGGTGAGATGGCCTGCTAAAAGCATATAAACTTGTTTCTTATGGAAGTGCTGCATGTGCAGATGCTCAGAGCACTCTTAATTTATAGTTAGGATGCTGATGTGGCATCCAAGGAAGTAATCTGACTCCATTAACTAACTTTTGAGCAATGCTGTCTCTTTGGGCCTGCATTTGACACCATTATTAGCATCCCCATGGTTGGCAATGGCGTTCTTCTGAGTTAATGCAGGAGATCTGTAAAGGGGTCATAGATATCCCACCCTTTCATTTACCTCATGTACTCAAAGGCCTGAAGAGGTTAACTGTCTCAGCCCCTGGGCTCAGAGTCCGTGTCCAACTAACCGCTTCGAAGGTTCATCCCCACTTCTGTTTGTACATCCAGACAGGTAGTTTGGTAGTTTGCCTCCGTGCCACTAAAGTTCTTAGGATGCCGCCTTTAGCACACAGGCTAACCCCTTGTGTGTGGCTCCTCCTTCTGTTGTTCCTCACTATTCTTCTTGTGTTGCTGCACAAAACAATGCAACTTCCAAGTCTTTCAGGTGCCCCTCAACCCACAATCACTGGTCCCTGTTTAAGTGGAGATGTGGCTTCTAGGGTTGTAACTCAACCATTGAATACCTAATTGCACCTGTTACTCTTAAGCATAGCTCCTCTCCAGATGGTCTCCCTAACCCAAATGTCAAATAGGGCCAGTTCTAGCTGTTCCCTACCTTTAAAGTATTTTCTACCCCAACATCTCATATCCCTGATATGTGCTTGACGTTTTCTGTACTTGTGTTGACAACTTGCCTTCCAGAAGATTCCCCCCCCCCCTTGAGCTTCTTTAACTGACAATTGCGCGGTCATGCAACACTGTACACAAATGAAATTTATGTCCTTTTTTTCCACACAAATGGAGCTTTCTTTTGGTGGTATTTGATCACCACTGTTTTTTTATTTTTTGCATTATACATTTAAAAGACCAAAAATTTTGAGGAAAAAAAAACATTTTAACTTTTTGCTATAAATCATATCAATAAATAAAATTTAAATTTCTTTGTAAATTTAGGCCAAAATGTATTTTGCTACATGTTTAGTAAAAAAAAAAATCCCAATAAGTGTATATTGGTTTACAAAGTTATAGCGTCTACAAATAACTGTATATATACTGGCATTTATTAATTTATTTTTATATTCGTAATGGCAGCAATCAGCAACTTATAGTGGGACTCTGATAGTACGCCGAGCACTCTGACACTGGCTAATGTACACTGATATCACCAATGACAAGAATACAGTGATCAAAGCTAATCAAATGCATTGACACTGTACTAATGACACTTGGCAGGAAGGGGTTAACATCTGGGGCAGTCTAAAGGTTTACGATGTGTAATGTGTTCAAAATGTACAGTTTTACTAAGGGATGTGAACATTTTTGTCTTCGTTTTGCAAGGAGACAAAAACCAGCACATCCCTGCTGTCAGTAATGTTTACCAACACAGATCTCTTTCCTGTCACACGCTCTATCGGCAAGTCCCAGCCATGAATCATTGGCCGGCACCCACTTATCTGCATGTAAAGGAGCCAGTGATATCGCGGATAGGTGTGCATGACTGTGTTCCCTACTTGAAAAAGCAGAATCGCGTATATGTCACGTACGCAGCCAGAATAATAAATTATAGGGTGGCGCGCTCTGTTAAGTATCTTTATATATTAGACAAAACTCTGTACATGATTCCAAGTATATGGCAGTCTGATATCTACATGAACTTCCACCATAAACGTGTGTGTGTATGTGTATATATGTGTATGTGTGTGTGTGTGTGTGTGTGTGTGTATAAATGTATATATATATATATATATATATATATATATATATATATATATATATTCATGTAATCCAAATTAATGCAAAATAAATAATAATGGTGTAAGCATAAAAGTGAAAATTAAATGAATCAACATAAACATAAAAGTGAGAAAGTCCAATCGTGATCTTTATCTATATATAAAAAATATATCAATATGTAAATCCAATGTGCACTTGTGCAAAATCAAACTGGGTAAAAGTTCAGCAGATAGCTGGTTTCAGTATACTCTCCTTGTGAACAGCCTGTGGTTGTATAGCTGGAGTTGTGTAGAGAGGAAGCTGCACTGTGAGCCTGTTGTGGATACAGGGATCTCTCTCTCCTCAAAGTACTCCTCAATCCAGTTTTCTATATTTCCTCGTATGGATCATAGAAAAAAGAAAGATAGAGATATATATATATAGAGAGATATAGATAGATATATATATGTGTCTTATCCAAGATAAAGACTTTGTGTGCCCATTATGCACTCACATTATGATAAAACAGTATGTGCTTTCATATA